TTGATTTTGTGGTTTTTAATGCATGCAATGCTTGAGATGAATATATATGATTTATTTCCACTGCGTATTGCTCTGATGCATTATGGTTTTGATAATTTTGCAAACAAGTCTTAAGCTTAAGCTTTTCAAACAAAATATTTGATTATTGATTGGTGATTGATATGTTGATTTAATTAATCTTCTCCTGTATTCGGTGAATAAGTGGGAAGGTTACACAAATAAGCCATCAAATGCTTCCAAAAGACTTTCCACCTTAATGTCACTTGTAACAACACAGCCTCCAACCCTTTACATTGGCGATTACGATGCTGGCACATGTCCCCTCACTAGCCCACGTGCGACTTTCCCCATGCTAATACATGGGTTATTCCTTACCCTACCAAAAAAGTCTTTTAAAATCTTTTCAAGATTCGAGCCCCTAACTTCTTCTACCTTAGTGAATTTATAGCCAACCCTGGTACCATTAAGTAACTACCATAGGGAAAGTCGAACGTGGGCCCGTGAAGGAATATGTGCCAGCACCGTATTCGCTAGCATAAAGGGTTGGGGGTGGTGCTGTTACATCACTAGTCAACCTGATGATTACACTTTATTATTGATCACTCTACCATAATTTAGTCTAGTTGACGTTATAAATGGCTCCTTTACTATAAAAGATAATCATTTTTTGCCAACAAAAAATACTAATTTAAAATTTTACATCATAATATTTTTTGTGGATATGTTATTTTTTAATTTAAAGCCCAAGTTCATGAAATCTAAACTCTAATATAATTTATACTCCCTTCATTAAAAAATATAAGGCATTTTTAACCGAATATCACCCCGAATAAAATAGTTATATACTTTTAAACTAGTCCTATCTTTTCATATTTACCCTATTAAACACTCTATAATAAATATAAAGTCACTATCAATAGATACACTTTTGAAAAAAAGCAATGATTTCACATTAAAAAATTAAAAATACCTTACATTTTTGAACATCCAACTCCTCAAAAAATGCTTACATTTTTTAATGGAGAGAGTATATTATTGCTATTGTTTTTTCTGTTTTTAAGTCAAGCTTGCCAAACTTGTGAAAATAAAACAGCTAAACTTGAATTAATTTATTTCTTAGGTTAAAAAAATCCGAATATACTTCAGTTGTAAATTAAATCAAAATGTACGAAGAAAATGTAATGCAACTTGAATCCATTTTTGTGTGAGGTTTTTTCACCTTATGTCCTTTCAATCGCAATCACTTGGTCGAATAAAATGTGGCACGTGGCACATGGGTGGGGGGTGGGCTACGCAATTGTATGTTTAATGCTTCTTACCTAATTTAATCTATAGGTTTCGCCGACGTGCAATTAATTATATTTAAAAATTAATTTCCCTTTTTAAGGAAAAATTACTAACAACCCCATATAAAAAACTTATTTATAAATAATTCTAACAAATTTGTGAAAATATACCTAAGTCCCATAAGATTTAATTATAGTTAATTTAGCATGTAAAATGATACAAATTCTCTTGAACTCCCAGCTTTTTTGAGTTTTGACTAGCATTGATTGGTGACTGATAATTGTTGACTAGTCAAAAAATTATTTATACTAAAATTCTTTAATATTTATAGTTTTTTTTTTATATTTACAAGCCGAGCTCTTACAATTTTAATAAGTTAATATTCACAAGTTATCTTAGCATATTTACAAATTAAACATCTTAATTTAATTAATTTACAAGTTTAACTTGGAAATTTTGTAAATATTGAATATTTACTTGTTAACTTATTATGTTTGCCTTACTGTTTTAATAAAAAAAATTAAGAAAATTATTTTTGATCGATTAACTCTGGCCAGCAACCAATCAACAATTACTTGCAACTGATGATCGGTCAAACTGATCAACATTAGTCACATGGTCAATTAATGACAACAAAGTCTCATGAAATTTGAGTTTATTTAATTTTCACAAATTTTTAGAATTTATTCATAAATAAATTTTTTATATAGACCTGTTTATATACATACATATATATATATATACATACATACATACATATATATATATATATATATATATATATATTAATCAACACAACTTCATCACGCCAAACTGCACTCCACTTTCGTCACGCTCTATCTCCATGCTATTGGTGCAATATCCCACTTTTGTTATGTCAACCATCACAGTATGTTTCATGTAATTATGAATTAGAAAGATATTTCTTTAACTAACAATAACAATAATACAATGATTATTAAATACAAAGAATTGTGTTAGTTCTTTGTTAGTAAGTTTATTACATTAATTAATCATCAGGAATCAATTCAGTTAATTACTAACTAAATTTTTTTTTTCACTTTATCATTATTATAATATTATGTAGGTTTGAAGTGCATTTTTTCTCAGAGAAATACTCTTGGTAAAGCCATGGGGCTATGGGCAGTTGGCCGCTCTAAAAAAATATTATAGAGTAATACAAAGGTAATAAAACTTTTAATCTCTCAAGCTGGTTTTAATTATCAAGTTGGTTACTCAAGTTTATTTTTTATTAATTTAATTTTTTATATATTTTTTTAAATTATCATATAAGTCTTTTTTAATTTTAAAACATAAATTGACTCTTATCAAAATGAACTAATGTATAAAGTCTATTAATGACTTGATATATATATATATATATATATATAGTAAAATAAAAACAAGAAAAATAATTTTTTAATCCTTCAACTTTTAACTCACTCGTAATTCAGTCCCTTAATTATAACTCACTACAACTCAATCCCTCAATTATGACTCGCCTATACCTCAATCCCTCAACTTTTGACTCACGTATTACTTGGCCTCCAACTTTTATTAATTCTCTTTTTTCGTGTTAGCTTAGATTCTACATCAAATGATAAGAGGAGGGTATTTTAGATGAATATATGAGCATTTCTTTTATTCCTCTTATTTAATAAGGATAATTCTAAAAAAAATAAAAAAATAAGAACATAGTTATAAGTAAGTCAAAAGTTGAGAAATTAGGTTGCAATGAGTCATAATTATAGAATCGAGTTACATGTGAATTAAAAGTTGAAGGATTAAAAGATTAATTTTTCCTAAAAACAAAGTAGCCCTTATATTAGTTTAATTTGTATTAATATAATATGTTACACTATGTCTTGTTCTTTTATTTTTTTCTTAAGTAAATAATAATTACACTTCTTTCAATTAATCTATATGACTACCATTTATATTCCGTTATATATAGCAACATATTCTAATAGTGTTACATCCTCTTTAAATAATAAAGAACAACTTGATAATTAAGGTAAATTTAAGGGATCAAATCAACACAAATTAAATTTAAAACATTAAATCGATAATTGAGATAAAATTTAAAGGACTAAAAGTTGCATTACATTAGGTTTTGAAACCAATACTTTCCTTTTTAGTAATCGAAACTTTTAGTTAACATTGGATAAGAAAGTCTTTTAATCTACACTAACAATTGATTTAACGGCAACAATTAAAAAAAAAAGAGCAATATTACATTGGGTTTTCACATGAAACTTAGGTGAGTTAAGTTTTGGGGTTCACCAAAGTCATAGCATGTTTTCAAACTCAAAAAACACTTACAAAAATACTTATAAACTACTCACTAACAAGTTTCTTATATCAACAATAGAGATAAAAAAATTATATGCTACATTGTTCCATAATTTTTCTTAGGGTTCTGTAGTTCCTTTGATAATACTTTCAGGATTTTTATCTTTATCGTATATAATTAAATTGACATGTTAGGCATATTCTTCAACAATTGTAATTATACTATAGCTAATATATACAATATAGTCAGAATTATTGTAAAAACAATCTCAAGAACCTCTCCTCAATTATTGTATATGTTCCTTCATTTTATGTTTGGTTCATCGATCTTCTTATTGTGAAACGTCTATAAAATCACGCGTCCTTGATCAGCTTCCGATCAATAATGAAAATTTTTTAATAATAAAATGTTAGGCCCGCAAGTTACTATTCATCTACTACGGTTTTCAAATAAATTTTAGGGATAAAGATTAATCACTAAAGTGATTGATGACCAAAGCGATGAGTGTGGCATAATAATTACCCCCTCGTATGATATGAGATCTATAATCAATTCACCATTCCCCAAAAAATCTTAGTCGACAAGATATTTGGTATGTATTTTTCACCACCAGTTGTTATAAAGACAAACTTTTGTGTAAGTTATACTCTATTTTTTATTTTACTTATATGTCCAATATAAGTCTGCTAGAGTGTGTGAATATAAAATACTCCTACTTAATTAACTTACTATAATACTATGTACGTTTATAAAAGTGGAGATTAATCTAATTACAATGTGCGTGCGTGCGTGCGTGTAAGACTTTTGAAAATGTAAGGTCTGATTTAGATTTAATGGTTCTTTCATGTAACTTTACACACACACACGCACAACATCTTAAAATACTCGAAAATGCCATTATCAGTCCCTGATTTTTGTTGACGATTTTAGCATTAGCACCTAATCAGCGAATGAAGGCATCAACTTATAGATTAAGCTAAGTCCAAATTATTTATTGATCATCACTCGACTAATAATTTATTAGAACTCTCCTCTCTCTCTCTCTCTCTCTCACGCACAGAGTGAGAGGGAGAGTGTGTTAGTCAATGGCTCTCCTTTCTCATTTGAGCACCATCAAAAGAAAAAAAAATGGTGGCGTCCAAATATATATATATATATATATATGAAAGAAAAGGAAGAGAGTGTAATTAAAGTTTTATTATGTGGAAGATCTGATAACTTAAATCAAATAATCTCACTGCATACATAGTGAACAATGACATAATTTTGTAAAATGGCCCTCTGGGGTACTTTCGTTGGTGGACGCGTGTTTTATGATTTAGCCATAGAATTTTTATCACAATAGCGTTTCGGAACAATTATTGGTCTAACCCTCTCTTACACACACACACACACACACACACACAACTTCAAGTTTCTTTGTATGTTAATTGCACCCTTCCAGCAACTCGTCATACTTCTTCTCAGATATATATCTCTGAACGATCATAACCTTTTTCCTCTCATTATTTGATGTGTCTTTTCTTCCCTAACAGCTTGCCCTTTCTTTCCTGCTAAACAAGTAAAAGAATTCCTCGAGTTTCTACTTTTTCATAGTGAGGGTTTTTGAAAGCTATGATGAGTTAAGTGGTGTTGAAACAACAAGATCACAGCTTGAAACTGAATCTATCACAGGTGAAAATTTGATCTATCACAGCCTTCCATTTATCTACTGTGAAATGCATATAGGGCATTTCTATATATATATATATATATATATATAGAGTATGGTTTTTCTGCTTTTTGCATCGCATGTGTATGTGTGTGTATAGCATGAAGAAACCCTTATAGGTGGGTTGATGATTTGGAAGCCTGCAGAAATTTCTAATCGAAATGGAAACTTTATTCATTAAAGACAATATGTACGGGAAGCTTCCCTCATAAAGTTGATTAATTAAGTACATATCATGGATCCTCACTTCAGGTTAGCATATATAGAAATTAGAGCAAAATTAAAATAGGTAGCACCATTAAACGTGGTTAGAAATTTTATTTTTTTCAGCAAGATGATTGAATTCTTTACAAAATTTGAATATATGAGATCTATAACCCTCTTCTGAATATATGTAATCAACTTTGTACGTAGGTTATCTATATCTATCTATCTATCTATATATATTCCAAAAGGACACTGCTTCTGTACGTTTTCATATGGATGAATTGTATCCTAAATGAACGAAACTGTTTCAATGAATAATTAATCACATTTATTTATTTTCTGAAAGTAGAGAAACTTAAATAAAATTTCAGATAAATGGATCTTATTATAATTTCTTATCTTGGCACGAGAAGATTTTTCTTTCTTTCTTTCTTTCTTTGGGCCAGTGAGCACACCAAGATTTTCATTAATTCCAGTGGGGTACTTGACCAGTGCACAATAATATATTTGAATCGAGTAAAATTTTAATTTGACATTGTCTTCTTTGATTTACATTCAAACCTATTTATATAAAAATTGTTTAAATCTCTTCCTGAGACATACAGCACATAGAATGATTAGATGACAAAACAATTATACGTTCAGATTGGGTGCAAAAATAATAATTAAAATGAAAGAATAGTTTAATATTCATTTACACAAGAAATTAAATATCCTATTCATTATTCAACTAGCAAATGTCATTGTTCCAACTTATTTACAAATTTCAGGACTCAGTCCAAAGTTAATTATTTACTCCAGTCTCCAACATTCTAATCATCAAAGTTAATTATGCCAGAAGGAAGCTTTGGTCTAGCAATATGGCTCATTGTAATTAACTTGCTCTGATCTCTCTTTTACTTTTTCCACCAATAAGTAATCAAGAAAGTTGCTAAACTGATCAGTTTTTGCCACTTCCTGCTGGTAATGAAATCTAGCTAATGGCTAAAGTGACATTATGTTCTTCAAATCACTTACTCAGGACACATTGACTGGAAAGTAATAATCATATGTACTTTCTATATATGATGATGATAGGACACATTATTGGAGCATTTGAGAGCTTTGCTGTAATGGATTATGATCCTCCATTCTTGGAGACCTACAAGGCCTTTCTGCAAAATCCCCACAGTGAAGACACAAATACTAATTACCCCTCTGTGGTGGATTCATGGGAGCCACCTATAATCGATTTTGCGAAGCTAGCTTTAGATCAAGACAGCAGACCAGAGGAACGAGATCGGATGATTGAAGCAACCACAAAATGGGGTTTGTTTCAGATTGTTAATCATGAGATTTCACAAGAATTGCTCCACAGCATGATGCTTGAACAAATGAAACTCTTTCATCAACCTTTCGTGGATAAGTCACCACTCAGAACTTACAAGTGGGGGAACCCTTTTGCTACTAATTTGAGTCAACTTTCTTGGTCAGAAGCCTTTCATATATGTCTCACAGATATATCCAGGATGGTAGAGAATCAAAATCTGAGGTAATTAATTTGTGTATATTTTATATATGTGTTTAACTTTAGAGGGTCGTCATCATCTCTACGTGCTCACAGGCTTTCTAGCTGCATGGGAATGAGCAACCTGTAGTGACACACACACACACACTGATACTTAGGGAAATTGAGAAGAAAGGGGTTCGATCCAGCTTAACGAATCTAGTTAGCATGCATAGGACTTATATGACAGTACTTCCTTATATGATAAACATATAAAGTTCTTCTGTAGCTTAGATAAATATTTAAGAATATCTACAGACTAGATATGATAAAAAGTAAGTTAAAAGATTTTGAAATTTAATTGACCTTTGAGTGACTACCAAATTATACTTTAAGAATGTAATAAACTTTCAATGTATTTATATGCACATGCATATAGCTGTCTCGATCTAATAAAAGCAACATGTGCATTGTTTGGAGGACAATATATTTCATGACTGTAAAAGTTTATATCCCAGTCCTTTAAAGCAGAGAAGCTAGAGATCTTGTACTTGAAGAACCCTCTAGACACTGACACTTTTGCAGCCAAGGATAAGCCAAAAAAGGATAAATTAAAGGAAGTAAACAAAAAGGTTTGCTGGACACCATCATGATGATGATAACTTGGTCCTTTTTCAAAATTCTAGCCATTTAATTGACCTATACTTTTGTGATTTTGTTTTGTTATTCTTTTTTACAAAATTTTCCAATCATCAGAAGCGTTGAAGCTTTTGCAACAAAAGCGACGGCCCTTGTGGAAAGCATAGTGGAAATTCTGGCCCACAGAGTGAATATCAGATCAAGATATTTCCGAGACAATTGCTTGCCAAACAGCACTTTTGTTCGACTGAACAGATACCCACAATGCCCAATATCTTCAAAGGTGTTTGGCTTAATGCCTCACAGTGATTCCAGTTTTCTCACAATTGTCTATCAAGACAAAGTTGGAGGCTTGCAAGTGATGAAAGATGCAAAGTGGGTCGGTGTAAACCCTAACCCTAATGCTCTACTTGTTATCATTGGTGACCTATTCCAGGTGCTTCCAGTCTCTTCTTCATCTATCAGCTAATTCCTTATAATTAAAGATTGATGTCTTTTTCTGGGTAAAGTGTGTGTTTTGCATCACTTTTCAAAAAGAACTATGATTACTTACTTGTCGTATATACATGGTAATGGCGAACATATGTACGTGCTTTCTTTTTCAATTTAGCTAGTACATTGATGTAAAACAAGAAGGAGGGGGGGAGAGGAATAGAGAGAAAAGAAAGAGGAAGGAAGGAGAAAGAAGAAGAGGGAAGGATGAAACTTTTGAAAACTTTTGTTCAATAATACTCAAAAGTTAAATATAAATAAAAAAATATAACTTTATTTATAAAGTTCTAAAAATAATAAAATAATAATAACTTAAGTTCAAATCCCAAATCCTACATTTAAATCTAATATTAAAAATACTAATATATAAAATAAATAATAACTTCATATTCTAATAAATAAAATCCTCATTTAAACATCCCTAATAGATAATCCTAATATTTTAAATAAATCCTAATTATCTTAATTAACCATTATCTCATATTCTATCATTTTTCCCCTACTTGAAGAACTCATCTCCCAACAAGTTAAAATTGATGCGCAAATTAGGCGGGGAAGGATGGGCGGGATAGAATTTCATCTATGAGCATAGATTTGGAAATCATTTCCAACAAATGAGGTAGTGAAAGAACAAACTCTGGCAAGAGTGAGTAGTTTGACCATACGGAATCTCTAAAAAGCCTTTTCAATAGATAAAGTATTGTTGGATTTAACTATTAAGTAACGAAGTGACATTGGGAGATATAGCCTGCAGACAAGGAATAGTTATAACGTCATAAGATTGTCCTTGCTAGGGGCAATTTGAGAAGGAGCACCTTGTACTAATGTATAATGGACAACTTGATCACTGTTTAAAGAGCCTTCTACTGGCAAGGAAGGAGCTGCTACTATTGTTAGTTCGCTTGATACTTGTTCTTCCATTTGTTTCCTCAATTTATCAATCATCCTCTTAATCTCACATGTTGCTTTCTTAGCTTCACTACAATCTCTCCTAAGCTCGTCAAAATAACAATTTTGTTCTTACTGAAAGCAATCCAGTTTAACTATAATTTAGTCTATGTCCTCCTAAAAATTAGCATATTTATAATGGCAACGAGTACCATCCTCATATTGATAAACATAATCATGTTAATGGCTATTAAGATGCTTATATTGCCGTTGCTCAATGTACTCATGCTAATGTTGGTCTTCATACTCATATCGCTTATGATTAGCATATTCTGACTGGATATAGCGATGCTCATACTGTTGATGGCTTGTGTACTCATATGATTGCTCTTCATAATCATACCAATAGCTATCTTGCCAATAAGTATCTTGTGATAGATAGGCATACCGTTGTTGATATTCATTACATGTGTATCGTTGAGCATAATCCTTTCACTGTTGAACATATTGTGATAGATCAGCATATTCATACCGATAATCTAAATGTGTGTATATGCTATAGTAACTCAGTATCATAGCAAACTTTCTTTTCTTTTCTTTTCTTTTCTTTTTTCTTTTTTTTCCCTTCTTTTTTCCTTTTTTTACTCTTTTTTTAATACAAAAATTCATATCAATAAAAATAAAAAATTACTCAAAATGCCACAAAATATGAAAAAAATTGCAAACCTCTAAGATCTAACAGGGAGCAAACTTGTGAAAGGTGATGAAAGCATTCTAGCTAGTAGCATTGAATAGTGAATTCATTACACATTGTTTGGACCTCCCAATTTTAATGAAAAAGTTGTAGTTTCTAAGTGAGATTGGCAACAAAAGTGTGATGTACCTGACTCTAATACCAAATTAATGTAAAACAAGAAGGGATAGAAGAACATAAAGAAAAGGAGGAGGAAAGGAGAAAGAAAGAGAAGAAAGATTAAAACTCTTGAAAACTCTTGTTCAATAATATTCAAAAACTGAATGTAAATGAAAAACATAACTCTATTTATAGAATTTTAAAAATAATAAAATAATAATAACTTAAATTCAAATCCCAAATCTTAAATCTAAATTCAATATTAAAAATACTAATATTAAAATAAATAACAACTCCTGATTTTAATGAATAAAATCCTTATTCAAATATAAATCATAATATCTTAAATAAATCTTAATTATCTTAATTAATTATTATCCCATATTCCATCGTACACCCTAGCTGGGCCGACAATGAATAAATATCATTGTCACGACTCAAGATTAAGTCATCAGTCGGCCAGAATTGGTACATTCTAGATATAGGCCAGAATTGGTAAATATTGCTGCTGAGAAAGATTGTGAGGTTCTGTGGCATATATTTGATTTCTGTTTCTAAATCAGACTACTTACAGTGTGTGTGTGTGTGTGTGTGTGTGTGTGTGTGTGTGTGTGTGTGTGTGTGTTCGTTCAAAGCTTTTTCTTTTCTTCTGTTGGATCTCGTTCAAAAAGAAAAAAGAAAAAAGAAAACTATGATTGCTCCAACGTCTTTAAGCCGCATATAGTATATAGTAAAACGACAAGCATATATATATAGATATTTATGCTATGCTTCAGTTTTCAAGCAGCAGTGCCATCTGGGGATAGCCGACAATGAGAATATCGTTCTAATGATTAAGTGAATAGGCCAAAAATGGTACATACTGTAATGGCATAAAATCATGCTAGTTAAGTGGATGTGTGTGCATATTATATTATACTTGTCTATTATGTTGGATGATTAATGTACTGAATATTTTATATATTGATAATCATGCAGGCATTGAGTAATGGAGTGTACAGAAGCATAAAACACAGAGTAGTTGCTGCTGAAAGGATTGAGAGGTTTTCTGCGGCATATTTCTTTTGCCCTTCGGATGATACAGTGATACAGAGCAGTGAAAATAACAATAAGCCTGCTATGTACAGGAAGTTTACTTTTAGAGAGTATAGAGTCCAAACTGGGAAAGATGTCAAGCAAATCGGTGATAAAGTGGGGCTCTCTAGGTTTCTTGCGTAGAATAATATAGATAGGTAAAGTGCTTAATTAATTTGTCTAATAATGATAAGTTTTAATTAATCATGCTAAGATTATTCCTCCTTATCTGTTAGTGTCTTGAATTAGTCTTCTTTGATTGTGACGCGTATTTGTGAAAAAGTGAGGACAAGTTTTTCATATCGTGAATTGAATATGTAGCTAGCTACGTTTCAATCATGCATATATATAAACTCATTACTCATTATTCATCTGACTTGGCTCAATCTTCCTTATGATTGTGTGGGTATGTTTTTGTTATCACATTTCATAGAAAACTATCTGCATAAGTTTTTAATGAGTTGAGGGTGTGTGTGTGTGTGTGTGTGGGGTAAATTAATGACTTGAGTATATGGCTAGATTTCAGTCGTATAATAATATTAATTAACATGAAACTAATTCATGAGTTTTTATATGGCAACAGTTTGCGCGCGCGTGTATACTAAGTACTGTTGTGATAATTGTCAGCTCCAAACTTCAAAAGATGTTAATTTAATCAATAAGAATAAGCATGGCAAATGGGTTGATCAAGACAGTAATTCAATCACTTAATCCAGTACTCTTTAAGTTGGGTTAACTTTTGGGCCGAAAAGAAAAAGTTTGGCTAACGTATAACGAAAAGTCCTTAAAAAAGAAAGCACTTTTTTTTATCAATTTAGTTTTTTTAATATATTATTTATTGTATAATAAACTCTTATTATTAATATTATTAATTTGATTGAAAAAATTTATTAAATATACTATTTAAGTCTTCCAAAAAACTTTTAAATTTTTTGTGACATTACAATATTTACACAATAAAATTATATCTCACAATTTCCTTGATGAGTGATCTTTTTGACAAAGACCAATAAGTTTGCAATCACTCATGTACGTAATAATATTTTTATCAAATATTTCCCATGCAATGTACAAGAAAGTTAGTCCTAGCTGAGTATATAACATAACTCTACAGTTAGTTAATGTTTCAATTTAAACATGCATGGTACGACTCCCAAGTTTTTATTTTTAACACAAAAAGAAATTAATTTTTTTATCATATTTATAAGGTAGAATGAAAAAAAAAAACTCTCAAAATATACAAATGGTAATTAAATATCACAAAATGTAATAGTTATTATTTAGTTCCCAGAGGTATGTATAACATTTTGATTTTTGATGAAATGATGTATTGGCCTAGGTGACTATTATACATTGGAAAATAACTATTTGGTTAGATTATTAAATAAAACGAAATAGAAAATGCTTATTTTCTTTCTGCAACTTTGCTTACTAGTCAAGTGCGCGCGGATATTAAAACTTGATGACTATTATACATTAGAAAATGCCTCTTTTGATTAGGTTATGTTAATTAAAACGGAATGGAACAAATTAATTAAAGTAGTTATTTTCTAAGGAAAGTATAGTCACTAAGAACAAATTAAGTAAACAGGCTGGTAGTTCTGATTAAAAATAGATTTTATTTTACACACACGTACATATCGTTCAACTTGCACTCCACAGATTTAAGACAACACATGATCACATAATTAAAAACCAATTAGGATACAAAATTAAATAATAAAACATTAATGGGGTCAGAGTTTAATAATGAAAAAAATATGTAAGTAAAAAAAAAATTAATTGTAGCATGCCTTGGTCTAATTTGAGCGTGTTCACAGAGACGGATTTTTTTCTTTTTTGGGAGGGGGAATTCAAAATTTTTGTCAAATTTATATTGTTTTGGCATGTTAAAATGTTCAAATTAATGTTGGCCCCCCATTGATTGGGTTCTGGATCCTTCCCTGCCTGTTCTAGTGCATGCACCTAAACCTGAAAACATGATATGATATTGATGTGTGTGTGGCCATTGTATAATATTTTTATTTTATTTTTTGGGTTAACTTTTGTATAATATTTATAAATCACATATATTTCTAAAGTTTTATGTTTCACGGCCAATGTGGGATCCTCCTACTTTCCTTCTAGATTCCAGCCAACTTATATTCTGAACATGATCGTTCAAGCAGGGCGATTGGAGCCTTATTTGGTGATGTCTTGTTACTTGTCAATTTAAAATCCATTCAACTTCACTTTTATATGTCTTTTGGGTTGAATTATTGTATTTACTGTTTTTGTATTTCCATTTATGTCCTCTCATTTTTATTTTAAGATCATGTCATCAATCCCATTATTATTATAGTTCACCGCTCCTTCCAAATTCGAACAAATCCCTCATGTTGCGTTTAGATTGGTAGATTTTAGTTGAAAATTTTGGTTTAAAGTATCATATTTAAAATAAACTTTATAGATTATAAATTCTTTATTTGGTAAAAAAATTTAAATTATAATATTAAAATTATTTGTTTAAATATAAAGTAAAATTTCAAATTTTATATTTGAACTTAAAAGAAATTTGGACGACGTCTGTAATTCATTCTTAGTCAAAGCCAACGGTTTGAATAGCCAACTTTCATTGGGATTAGACTGTTAACACCGAATAGGAAAGGACGACCGACTTTTATTGAGACCAAATGGCCAACTTCCACTAAGGCTAACTGATAGTGATGGCTAGGATGGGAAGGCTAACTTTCATCAGGACCTGACCAACAACGATGACAGAAACCAGACGACTGACTTCCACTAGCCATCTTTCACCTGGATCAGATTGATGACGATGACTAGGATAGAACAGTCGACTTCCACTAATCAACATAGGCCACCCAGTTCTAATAGAAGTCAGCCATATAGTCTTAAATCTTGATCATCACCATATGTTCAATCAAGGTGGAAATCAGTTGTGAGGTCCCAATCATCACTATCAACTACACTTTGGTCCTCAATGACAAAGGCAGTTCGATCCTAATGGGTAGTCATCCATCTGGTCTTAATTGGCACTAGTGGTGCAGCCCCGATCGACAGCAATAGCCCAATCCCGATCAACAATGGTAGTTAGTTCTATCAGCTTTAATAGTCTGATCCAATTATCATTGGTAGGCCAATCAAACCTTCATAGATTTGGATCAAATTACAAAAGAGATTGAGTCATGATTTGAAATAATAGAGGTTTAGAAAAAATTTTAAATTACAAAGAGATTGATGTAGCACTTGGATTTGAATTTGGGTCACATCTAATTCATATATTTTTAATTATCCAAACAATAGATTTGACTCAAATTTAAATTCAAATCTAAATCTATATATATATATATATCCAAACATAGCATCATTTCTTTTTGGATTATCAAAAAATTTCATTAAATTGGATCATCTGTGTGTATTCAAGTATGTGAGAGAGAGAGAGAGAGAGAGAGAGAGATAATCAATTGAGTTTAATTATTGTGTGGTATTCACATTTTATTTTATATGCCCATTATCGCTTTTGAATACAACATACATTTAGGTTGTATTTGGATTGGTGAATTTAGGTTGGGAATTTAGATTTGAAATCTCATATTTAAAATCTCACATTTAAAATTTATAAATTCTGAATTCTTTATTTAGATGATATAAAAAATTTTAAATTCTAATATTAAAATTCTTTATTTGGATTTTAAGTAAAATTCAAAGTTTTCAATTCTATGCTTGAATTTAAAAGGAACTCAAACAATGTCGGTAGTCCAGATGACATACTTCCACCAAGATCATATCATTAGTAAAGATTGGGATCAAATGGTCGACTTTCATAGAGATCGAACTGCAGGCACTGACCAAGACAAGATCGCTAGCACCAACTGAGATCGAATTGTTGATGTTGATGGGGACTCGCTAGTTGGCTGCAACCTCCCTCAAGATTAAACCAACAACCTCAACTGGGCCTAGACTGCTAACAATCCAATTGAAGTCACCAGTTTGGTCCTAATTGAAATTGTCAGTCATGGTGAGATTTGACCGTTTGATCCCAATCACAGGTGGTTGTCTAGTCTTAGTTGGTGTCGAAGGTCCTGTCCTAGTACAATTCTAGTAGAAGTTAACCGTTTAGTCTCGGTCATCGCCAACGATATGGCTTTAGTAGAAGTTTGTCATTCAATCCCAATCACAAGCAGTGGTCTAGTCTCAGTTGGTGACAGCAGTTTGATCTTGGTGGAAGTCAGGCGTCCAATCTTGGTCGTCGCCTACACTCCAACCTTGGTCGGCACTGACATTTTGATCCTAATGGAAGTTCAACTGTTCCAGTCCCAGTCAACAGTGGCAGACTGGTCCTAGTCGCCACTGGTGATCTGGTCCCGTTTAGCACCATCGACGGATTGATTAAATTATAAAGAGATTGAGGTAAGATTTGAACTAATAAAAGTTTATAAAGAATTTTAAATTACAAAGAGATTGATGTAGAACTTGGATATACATATCTAATTATCTAAACAATGGACTTGCACAAACTTTTTTATCTAATTACCCAATTAGATATAATCTAATTGGCTCAAATTCAAATTTAAGTCCAAATTCATATACATCCAAATATAGCATTAATTTTTTTATATAACTATTTGATTGAGTTAGTTGATTCGAGTATTGTCAACTCTAATTGGAGGCGATTATCCTAAAAATGTTTTTTTAACATTTACACAAACTTGAACTTAAGACTTTGTATTTAAACAATTATATTGTTAAACTCTTTTTATTAAGTATGCCCGAGGATAGTCTATTTCAGCAAAAAAAAAATTAAGCAATTTGGATAAACACACCTTAAACTTTATATATTTTTAATCTATCTTATATCTTTTAGATTTGACACTCCTTTTTTTATCTCTAATATTTCTCTATTACTTTTCTTTTCTTTTTTCCCTCGGTTTTTACTATAGCCCCTTCTACTAAAACTAATGTCTGTTGATAACATATATTTACTTTTGTAAACGTAGATGATCTAGAGAAAAATTGTACCTCATCTACACATTGCTTGATTTTTATTTCTCCAAATCCAAATTAATTAGAATATGATGTGAAGATTAAGATGAATAATTATATATAATTTTAGTTTTGTTAGATTATTTCCTTTTTGCCTTTGTAATGGATAGGATAAAATGTGGGGTCTAAGGCTGTGTTAATTATCCCCAACAAAAGTAATTTACGTTGATTAAAAAAAAAAAGAAACAGATTCAGATTCTTAATTTAAATGGCAAAATATGTAATGCTTTCAATGCCCGTTTTAAGATACACAAGGTGACATTTGGGAGAGTTACATTTAATAATATCTGACAATATTCAAATATGATCCAGTTAAATAATTGTATAAAAAAATTATTCAAAGTGGTTTATGTAGAAGATTTTGCAATTTGTTGCTTCACCTTTAGGCTTTTACCCTTTCGTGATCGTTTTTTCCCCTTTTATTTCAAATGTGTGTACTTCTCCTTTTTATTAATTTTGACTGAATGATGAAATGGTACTCTTGAAGAGAAATTAATGACAAAAACTTCTTAAATAGTATCATATTATATGTAAAAGATTGCTTGAAAAATATGCTGATGCAATTTGCGGTGTCAAATTATAAAACCTTATATTTTCATATAAGAATTACAGGCTTGTCATGTTTTTTATAACAAAGATATGGGGAATTATATGTACAAAAAAAAAAGATATAGGGAATTACATTAATATATTTTATTTTCAAATTTAAGGTAAAAATATATTACAAACTAACTTTATATTGAACAATATTATATATAATAAAATTTTAACGATCAGACTAAATTTTTATTAAGCATAAATTTACTAAGAAAGAGCATCGTCATAACGTACTAGCATTTTTAAATAAATTAAATTTTACGACCTTCGAAACAATAAATATTTTCATAATAAAATATAAAGAAGTGTATTTTTTAATAAATGAAATCAATATTATTCACATAAGTATATCTTAATCATTCTTTAAACAAAAAAATTTTATTTTTTAAAAAATAACAAATTTCATACTAGTTAAATTAAAATTCCACGAAGAGCTTTGCATTTCTATAAGAAAAATATTTAAGTAGATCAAGTACATCACATCATTTATAAGTTGTCCAATTAAAATACTCTAAATAATTTAAATAAAATCTCATGTGATATTTTTTAAATTGATTTTATTTTTATAACAGAATACACATTTAATTTCTCACCTTTTTTTTCCTCTACTATCATTAATATTAGAATCAATTTATATTTAATGTCATCAAAATGTTAGATTTTAATTGACATCCTACAAATTATGTAATGCACTCAATCCACCTAAATATTTTTTTTAAAATAAAAATATCAATTAAGGACGTTGGAAGAAATATATATCAATCAAAGATTACTGGTTAAAATTTGAATGGATACTTATTAATTTGAATTAACTTTTTATCAATAAATATCTATTCAAATTTTAACAATAACTCATTCTAAATTAATAACAGTTTATTTAACCTTTTTTTATTTAAATTTTGATAATAATTAATTTTTGATTGATATAATTTTTTTCTAATGATCCTTCATCGCTTTTTTCTCTTCTATAAACTGTTTCCAGCCTGGAGTGAGGGGCCCAATTAACATGCCAAATCTAGTATTACTTTTTCTTGCCAACCAGATCTGGTATTACTAAAACTTTAAGTCAAATCACTTGTCAAATTCTTTCTAATACCAAAACGTTAATTCTATTTAAAAAGTAACCGGCGGATCTTTGCATTTTCGTAGAATTTAAAATGAAGGTATTATGTATGCCGACACCCATAACATTTATTTACTTTATTTAAAAAGTGTAAAATATTTTTTAAAAAATTAAATACTTAAAAATATAAAATATTTTTAATTTTTTAATATATAATTATTATCTTTTTTTAAAAAAGTATCCCTATTGAATAAATAAGTTTATATTTATTTTAAAGTAAAATACCCTATTAAATAAGAATAAATATGAAAAGATAAGGTTAATTTAAAGATAAATAACTACTTTATTGAGAGTATATTCCCTTAAAATCAAAATGTATGTTCTACAAGCAATCCTTCAATCATTTAAACACTTATCCTTGTCCAAAAAATAATTTTAACATACATTATCACAATTTTTATACTATTAAATTGCTTAACTTTTATCTTAGTACAAATTTGATTAGTTTTATACAATTCTAATTTTTAGTTTCAATGATTTTAAATATTTAAAATTATTTATTCACTAATATTTTTGATGAATTATTTTTGGTGATTTACACTAGTTTTGGTGATTATTTTTTATGAATTTATTCAGTAATATTTTAAATATACACTCGTTAGCTAAGTCAGGCAACAACAACAAAATACACGTTAGCTAAAAACGTCTATCAAGCATTTATATTTTAAACTATTTTATAAGATTACAACATGTTATAATTTTAAGCATATGATATTAATATGTTAAATTTATAATTTAATTTTTAAATATATTTCATTAAATGTATATTTTTAAAAAAATTACTCAAGTTTCTGATCAATTTGTTATTTAAAATTAATTAAATTTTGTCTAAATTTACTAAAAATATTAAACAGATATTTAATATTAAACAAACTGTCAACAAAAAAAATAGAGATTTGGATGAGGGGTAAATTAGTAAATAAAATTTATTCCAATATGTTTTTCAAATAAAAATTTATTTTTAGAGTCTCTTTAGGATATTCTTTACTGGTAAACCTCTACCATTTACGCTAATTTGAATTGGTTTCTTGGTAAAAATTTTATCAAAACTATATTGAACTAGCTAGTTCCACCAAAAAACTAGTGTTGGGATAATTCCAAAACTTATATAGGTCGGTCATTTTGAGAATCCATCAAAATTGAAAAATTTAAAAAAATTGAAAAGCCATTATAGTTCAACAGGTTTGGATTTTTTTTTTTGGCAAAAAAAATGTTTAAATTATCAATTGAGTTCTGAAAGCTCATCAAGACTAGAGCATATATTTAGGTTCAAAAAATATTTATAAAATTATTTATAAATCACTCATTAATGAGATTATTTTATTGAGAGTGAGATTTAAAACACAGGTTATAGGTCAAATCTTAATCAACTAAATCAATCTTTAGTGGTCAAAAGGTTTGGATTTTTTTTATTTTTTTATTTTTACTTTAGACATAGAATAATGTCATTCCTTAATTTTAGGTTTTGATTTTTTTTCTTGTGCATTGTAATATTATATACTCCCTTTGTAAACTTCAGGCAAAAAAAAAAAAACTCCCTTTATGCCATAATATAAGACATCCTCTAAAAGCTTTACTTGGTCTAAAATCTAGAGCATTAGTTAATTTTTATAATTATTTTTTTAACTATATCCTTACTTTATTTATTACTCTTTTTGAAAAAAATGATGCATTAAAATTTTAATTATCATTATCAAAAACACTTATATAGGATATTTAATAAGGATAAAATTGAAAAGATATAATTTTTTAAAAAAATTAAGATTTTAACTAACATTTTTATAAACCGTGAATTAATTATCAATGTCAATTTTGGTCCGGAGGGAGTAAGTATTACGGCCAAAAAATGTTTCATATATTATAAGTACTACTATTTTAAGACACAGCTTTTAGAAGAATCATGGACTTGATAATCTAGGGTTGAATTTGATAACAATATTGTTAGAGAGAATTATATACAGATCCCATGTAAAAAAAAAAAAAGTAATTACCTGTAAGTCGTAACCACTCGTTAATTAATAATATACTGAAGTTTAAAGTGTAAATATTGAAGTTTGACTTACAAATAAAAACTAAAGATGATTATTTTTTATTTGAAACCTGTATGTAATAATTCATTGTTAGATAATTATTATGGATGGATATGAATGTTTTGGATTTGAAAGTGAAGTTGTGAAATTTGTTAACACTAAGTTTTTTTATTTGTCATATAATGTTTTAATGTATAAAATTAAAAATATTTTTATTTTATTCAAGCACAATTTAACCTTATAATTTCATCAATAAACCTTAAACTTGCATCTAGATTACTTGAACAATCTTTTATCCATTTTTTTTAAAATGCTTGTTACTAAATTGTTGCTAAAGTGTAATGAGTAGTTACGTTGCTCCTATTGATCCATACATATAATATATTGAATTAAATTTAAATTACACAGAGTAATTAAAGCATAGTTAAAATTTTCCCATTTTTTGATTAACTTAAAATGGATTATCATCTGAAATATATTTGGGGTGCTTAATTTGCAACCACAGTCTGTTTATATGTGTAGTGTGTGCTTTTGGCTTTGAACGCGCGTTTTTCAATTTAACCCTAAACTTGTAATCAGCATATAGTGCATGGGACTACACACGAACTGTTGCTTTTTTTTTTTATGTATAAATATGGAGCTACCTCTCAGATTAATTTGGAACAAACTAAATCACATTCATTCTCTTTCTTGTTCGTTGCTTAATTTCTGCTGGCTACACATTATTAGAAGCATTCAAGGTTTTATAATCTCAGTTCCAAAGTCCAAAAACAGCTTTGACGACTTCTTCTTCTGCTCTCTCTCAAGTCATCAGGTAAATTAAACCTTATCTGGCATTTGAGTATCCAAGTAATATTTTTTACCTAGGGTTTTCATTTTTGTTAAAAGGGATGTCATCTTGTCTTCTCTTGTACATTAGTAGGTAAGTTATGTATACATTTCTTTGAATAGATTCAGATCTTTTTGATTCTTTTCGGATATACTGAGTTGTTTCTATGTTCTTCAGGTTGCCGTTGCTTGAAATGGAAGCAGTAGCTCAACTTCAGGTGACATATACATTTACTTACAATTTTTGTTTCATTATTCCTTCTAATGCGTTTGAACTTTACGTTCCTTCTACATTTACTTAGAATCATAACAGCGAATGTCACCACCAATACGCGCGTGTGCGCTACTATAACATGATGCTAGTTTTCTCATCATGGTTTTTCACTCGACTCAAAGCCATTAATTAAATATTCCATTTATCAGATATGGAAAATTAATTGAAAATTAAACTTATTTTTTTTACATTTTTCTTTAAATTTAGGGAATTGTTTACAAGAAATTCAGTTTTTAAGAGAAAGTTGCTCTTCATTTGTTCTTATTTTCCCCTAAAAAACTATACCTTTGCCAACCAATTCCAAATCATGTCTAGTTTTCTACTGTAATCTCTCTATATGGAAGCGGACAGTCTTTAGTTATATATTCTGAAAGTGCGAGAATTGTGTGCAAGAGATAGCCACTACATATGTATATATATAATTTCACACATGTTATTCTCCTGCAAAAGTTCCGCGTTCTTTAATATTGTTCTTGCATGAAAAAACCTATAATTCTTTCCAGTCTTCTGATCGTTTTAATTACTTGTGTGCTTGTAATTAATTAATTTCCGCATACGCACGTCTACGTATAGGGTTTTCAAGGAGAAGTCGGAGTAACAATGGATTACGAACCTCTATTCCTAGAAGCCTGCAAGAAACTTCTCGAAAGCTCCTTGGACACAAGAACGACGGACATGATCCCGGTGGAGATCAGCACTTGCGATCTGCCTGTGATTGATCTTGGCCGTTTAAACAGTACCGACCATGTCGAGAGAGAAGAGTGCAAGAAAGAAATCATCGAAGCTGCCAAACAATGGGGTTTTTTCCAAGTTGTAAATCATGGGATTTCACAACAACTCTTGCAGAGGTTGCTGTCGGAACAAATGAAAGTGTTTCACAGACCTTTTGCTCAGAAATCTCAAGAAACTTCCACATCTTTCAACTACAAGTGGGGGAACCCTTTTGCTACAAATCCTAGGCAGCTCTCATGGTCTGAAGCCTTCCATGTTCTTCCCCATGGACCACCAAATATGGCCGACCACCACCACCAATGTCTGAGGTATACAGTTACACACGGATTTGGGGTGTCTGCTGACCTCTCTCTACTTCCTTTAATATATATAATGTCCAAAATCTCATCTTTTTATTTGGGGAAATTAGATAGAGCTAATAATATTTTGGACATGAGGAAGAGCAGCAAACGCCCCAAGTCTGTTACACACATAAACATATATCCTTTTGTTTGATCAGGTTTCATAAAATCTTGTTCATGCTTTTCTTCTATTTCATAGTACTTTATAGAGTATATAGTATTCTTAATTATAATCAATTGACCAACTAATTAATTAAGCATATATCCTTGCGTGCTCCCGCATGTGTGTGACATCAGGAAACAATTAATAATTTTGAGAAATCACTTGTGCATGTTGCGTAATGTTTGCGTACAATTATAAGCCAACTCATTCTAGACAAATATATATATATATTAGGTGAATTAATGAATTAAAGCGGACCAAAAAGTTTTTAGATATTCTTAATTTTTTTTCCTTAATTTAATATACTGTGAGAAGAGTTTTATTTTAATTAATTATATATGGCTATGTGCACCTTTTCTCCATACATATTCCTAACGTTTTATATATTAATATAAGTAAAATTATGATATATTTATCATATTTTTGTTATCATTATTTATCTGTTTTTCTTATCTCTTTTTTATACAAGTATTATTTTTCACTCACAAATTATTATTTTTTTCCATTTCAGGTTTTAATCTTCCTTTTCACTTGCGTTTGGTGCCTTTAATTAGCTATATAAATTTATTTTCTCAACATGAGCTTCTCTATTTCAATTTAGATCAATGACTGAAGCTTTTGCAAGAAAGGCTGGGCCCCTGGCGCAGAGGTTGGCGGAAATTCTAGGTGAGGAATTGAACATGAAATCCAGATATTTCCGGGAAAACTGTTTGCCAAACACGAGTTTTATTCGGCTGAATAGATATCCACCATGCCCAATTCCCAAGCACGTGTTTGGGTTCTTGCCTCACAGTGACTCCACTTTCCTCACCATATTGTTTCAAGACCAGGTTGGGGGATTGCAATTGCTCAGAGATGGAACGTGGGTTGGAGTCAAACCTAATCCACATTCCCTCTTGGTTAATATCGGTGATTTATTCCAGGTACATGCCTTTCTACATTAAAAACGCGCGCGCACTATAATTACTTAATTAGGGTGTGTTTGGTATATAACATATTATAAAGTCTTATGCCTATTGTTTAATTAAAGATTAAGATAAATGTTATTAATTTTTTGAGAATTAATTAGGATATTATGTTTATCGTTCTATCAAAATCGTTTAAGCCAATTTACAATAGAACTTACCTAGCTTAATTAATCTTAATTATATACCTTCAATTAATTCTTTAATTACTTAATGTGAGACTTCTTAATATATTCTAATATTTGGGAAGTAATTAGTTAAGAGGGAAAGGGAAGGGATTTGAAGACTATCCATAGTAAATCCTGATTTTCCTTTTTCTTGTTTGGGAAAATGTTTTCCTCTGAAGTTAATTACTTAAATTTTGAAACTTAAAATAAAGGAGAGGAAGGACTCAAAAAATTAAAGTTGGGAATAAGGTCAATTAACTGGGATTTTTCTCCCCTTTTTGATCGATTGATTAAAAAATTCCTAAACAAACGACAGTGAAAATTTTCTTTCTATAATTCTTTTTCCTTCCCCTCCCATTATAAAGATTTCTTCCATACGATGAAACTATATATAGAAGGGAGAAATTAAAGAGGAATGTGTGTGTGTATTTCTATAATACTAGCCATGTTTATGCAGATTTTCTTAATTATGAAGTTATTTTCAGCGTTAAATGACTTGCTTGACTTCCTTCTCTTGACCTACAGTCTAGTATATAATGAGTAGATTCATGGTATAGTGACAGTTTAACATCTAATTACACTAATTATTACTTAATACATTATATGCTACAAGAAAAATGCTCTTTTCAGTGATGGACTTTTTCCATCACTGAAATCATTCTTGGTGCTGAAAAATTCCATTTCTGAAGAATATTTAGTTTCTCCTAGCAGTAACTAGAGAGACGTGAATGATGATAATTAACCAGGTACATGAACTTCGAACAAATACATCACATATAAATTTAAACATGTTATATCATGGCGTGTATAATTAAATATATTTTTCAAAAGGACTATAATTACCCAGAAGGCTTATCATATAATTCATAATGAGCAGCTTTAAGAAAAAAAAAATTAATTTTCAAAAATCATCCATCATCTTCCTTTCACTTTCAAAGATACTATAAACTCTACCGCCGCGAAATCTACGCACTCAATTAACCAAAGGCCTGAAAATGACAGTAATAGTGACGCGCCAGAAATGTTCAGAGGTACGAATCAGAGAAATAACTATAACTAAAGAAGAAAACAAGTTTTCTTCAATCACTTTTGCCTAGGGCTATATATAGAGCTCCTCTCTCTCAGAATGAAGAATAATAAACTTGAGAAAACGTACCTTTGAAACTTGAAAGCATATATATCACACAGGTACTGAGCAATGGAGTTTATAGAAGCATAAGGCACAGGGTGGCGGCTGCGCAGAAGGTAGAGAGATTCTCTGTGGCTTATTTCTATAATCCTTCGCATGACGCAGTCATAGAGAGCCATGGCACACCCAAGGTTTACAGAAGCTTCACTTTCAGAGAGTATAAGCAGCAGATTGAGAAAGATGTGAAGGAAACTGGTGACAAAGTGGGGCTCTTTAGGTTTCTTCTGTAGATGAAAATAAATTAAAGTTTGTTTGGTATGATTAAAGAAAAAACAAGGTTTCAGCTAATTAAGTTTTCAGATTATTGTTGTAATGTCTGTTTGTTGTAAGATAATTATCATTGCATCAGTTTGACTTAGTGGGAGTAGAGTCGTTTAAAAAAGTAAGGTTAAAATATGCTTTTAATCTTTTAATTTTATATTAAATTTTAATTTAGTCTCTTAATGTTAAAAAGTATATTTTTAGTCTTCAAATTTTAACTTAATTTTAAATGATTATTTTTTATATCAAACATTGTTATTTTTAAAAAATAAACTTTTTAATATGTTAATATTTAAAAATATTTTGTCAACGTAGAAAAGATCAATGTATAAATTGAAGGTATGCTTTAGCCAAAAAGGTAACTAAAGACTTGAATTTAAATATCAATATTGGAGCAAAAAGTTTAACCCTAAATATATAAGAAATTCAATTAGTATTAAACTTTCAATTGTAAAACTAGCATATGTATGTATGTATGCAACTAACATCTCTAAATTGATAACAAATGAATAGTACTGAATGGATACTTACAACAAAGTGTAATTTAAATTTTTACCAGTTTTTATTTTAAAATCTAATCTAATGATAAATATACTTTAACACACCTTGTAAATGTTAGGGAAGAAATGAACAAACTGAATAATGCTATAGGAAGAGAGTAATTATAATTAGTGATAATCATGATTAGATAAGGTAGGACCACAAAGCACGCGGAAGAGGTTCCATATGCCCTACTGCAAATCGACGTGTCTTTTCTTAATATTTCTTTTATACAATCAATGATGAGACTTAATACTTAATTATAATTAGTTTCAAAGTCCATTTTTTAGTTGTATTATTGGAGTTGAATATGCTCATTAATGTTTTTAAAATTATAATTAATTTTAAATTTGGCCGATTAATTCACTAAACATGTATCTTAATTACTGTTAATTTCTTTTAAAAAAATATAATTTTTGGTCTTTGTTCTTTTTTAAAATTATTGATTTAGCCCCTAAATTTTAACTCAAAAAAAATTAATCTTTATAGTTTATCACCTCTGAATAATTTAGTCCTTATAGCTAAATTTTTTTTTTCATGTGATACCACTCAATCTCTATAATTATTTTAACTCATTAAAATACAGCATAGTCTTTGTAATTTATTCAATTGGGGAATCATAAGTATTAAATTATGCCAAGTCAAAGTTTAAGAACTAAATTGTCAATTAAGAAGAAGTTTAGGGAGTAAAAGTTATATCATTCCATTTCCTTTTCTATAAGTTCATAAATGGAACGTTTATCTGTTCACTAATGGTGTTTCTTAATATTTCAAAAAATTTCAATTAATTACTTTCTTCGCTTAATATTTCGCGAAACCCGCGGGAATACTAAAGTTAAAAGACAAATTGATGGAAAATCACGTGCTTCTTTGGAAAGCACAAGAGAAGACAAGATATATGAGACAGAATTAATGAGAGGTGAAGATAAAATTATGATATATGACACGGTGTTAATTATAGATATCTCCCACGACATATATAACAAACATTCCAAATCATGGAAAAAAGAATTATATATTTATACAAGGAGAATTACATATAAGTCCCTCCACAATATATTTAAATACCACAAGGTGTATTGAAACCTTAATAAAATAACAACATATTTAATAATCATTTTAATTTCTTTTACTTAGTTATCAATGAACTTTATAGTATTTAATTGTATGGTATGGGACCTCAAAGTAATTCACACTTTTATTATTAATTCTATTTTGTTCCTGAATGAATAATCAAAACAGCTCAACCCACAGATTAGGGAAAGCTGACAGAGACTCGTGATTTGATTTTAAGTACACTAATTGCAAGACATCCACCGAAACAAGAGGTCCCATTGCCACGCGATGAATGTAGTTTTTGAGGATTGTGCATGATAAGAAGAAGAATCATATACATATTAATAATGGTCGGAATGTATGGTGTAATAATTGAAGCATATGTCTCACAGATCAACAAATATATGCTGATTTTAATTGGAGACACATTGTCGGTAATACATATAGAATTATAATACATGGTTGATATTGTGGCACATGAGATTTTGGTTGATTAGTTTTCATATTCTTGCCGTGCGCAGTAATAATTTTATATATATTTCTGGTAGAATGGAGAACCTTAACAAGTGCTTTAAGAAATAATTCTAGTGACAAGTGTTTCGGTAAATTAATATAAATTAATAAATAATCCTCTAGTCCTTCTTTTTACCAACCTCCTCTGGTCCTGTTATAAGACAAAGAGAAGAGATTAATTTTAGTCTTATTTATAAAATACTTCACTAGTTTTCTATATTCATTTTTACTTTTTTGTCGTATTAAATACTAGAAAAAGTATAATAAATAATAGTGTTTATCCTTATTAGGAGGTAGGTGGAAGCTTATTAAATTTTAAAACAAGATTATTGAGATTTAAAGTTTTTCTTAATTTTGATAAAACATGTTGAAAATTATTTATAAATAAGACAAGTGGAGGGAGAAATTTATTTACCAATAAGTGCTAGTTTAACTAGCAAGGGAGATCTTCTACTCAAAAAGGGCCTTGCTCATTCTAGATTAGTAGAAGATTTGGATGGCTTCAAATATGGGATGATTTACTGCCAAACAAATAAATAGTTTATTAGTATTTTTTTACATCAAGTTTGAAATAAATTGTGTGAAGACTTTCTCTCCCTAGCCATCTGTGCTAGGGTTTCTCCAAAGCTTGTCTTTGTCTTTCTCTTAAGGTCCACCTAGGCTTTTGTTTTTCTCTTCTCGACCAAAGTTCACTTCTTCAACGGTGGTTGGAGAAGAGAAGGATGGCAATTGAGGTCTAGTCAAGTGCAAGTGATTAGTGGTTTGTTGATTGGGGATAGGTAGCGGTGACACAGAAGAAGACAACAATAGTGGAGGTAAAGGAATCAATGATCTAGGGCTTTTTAAAGAATCATTCCAATGAAAGGGGAAAGGGCTTTAAAGAATATGCAAGAGTCTTCACTCTAAAATGTTGCAAATCTTGATTTACAAGGGACTTTAGAAGCAGTTATGAAGAATCTTGGTAGCTAGTTTGCAGCCAGCCGCCCAACAACACATCCAATTGATTTCTTGAAGTTGTTAGGGGACTATTTGGCGACGATTTTGGTATCTTACTCTTCACCCTTAGATTTTACGATTGGTCTTGGTAGCATGTTTCTTTTATGTGTCATTTTGTCTCAGTAATAACCTTGTCTTTTGGATTAATTCTGCTTATAGTGGTGGCTAGTTGATGCCTGCTATGATTTGTTTTGCGCTGAAAATTTTTATTAACTTCTAGTGGATATTGTTTCCTCACGTGATAGGATGGATCTTTTTTTTTTTACCAAGATAGGATGGATCTTTGAAACTGTAATTTGTTTTGCAGCATTGGCTTCAAGGAGGCTATGCTCATTAAATCTAGTCTTTAGACTACTATCCTCCATTGCCACTTCTTTAATCATAGTAGACATAAATTAGTCATTAATTAATCTTTTCAATCTATTAGGCAAAGGCTCTATCTTTGATTTTTGGTTTATGTTAGTCGTTTTAGTTGTTTTTTAACTAATAATCTTGTTGTCTTGTTGCTTTATTAGATGTTTGATGTACTTTTTTTAATGAAATATATTTCCTTCAGTCGAGAAAAAATAAATAAGTTGTGTTATGTAACATCTTAATTTTTAAATAAGGAATAAATTGTGGAATTTAGGTTTTAATTTAAGAACTCAAATGGGTGTTAATATTATTTTGAGGATTAATTAGAAAAATAAATGTGTATTCAAGGAGAAATGGATTAATTGGGTGTTTATGTGATTAATTAGGACTTAAATTGGACCTGGAAACATATTGGAAAACTAGATAGGTTTCAAAATAGGTAATTAGGTTAAATTGGGCCCAAAAGGGTAGGTTTGGGCTACCTAACACTTGACTGCGTGCAGATGAGCATAAATGATGCTCGACCATACACGAACCAAGGGCCAAAATGTGGCCATTCCACTTAAGGGTCATCCTCACATGGATGAGAGTGTAAATGTCATGACCGTGCATGGACAAGGCTTTTATAAGCCATCCCTAGTGCATTTTATCAGACAGATATATAGAGAAGAGGGGGAAATTTCAAAGGAGTTGTGGTTTAGTTCTGTTAGGGCATGATTTTCTGATGGCTTAGGGTGATTTTCAAGCCATGTGGCCACTTAAGGTAAATTCCTGGTCATCTAATCTACCATTATACCTAGTTTTCTTTGATATTGAGGCTGATTTTCATATCAAGGTTATTTTCATATTATGGTTTCTCTATAGGATATATACTTCGAATGTATGGTGATTTATTTTTGTTATTGAGATTGTTAGGAGTGTAATAAACAACATAGAACACATATTTGAAGTTAGAATTTTAATTTAGCAATTTTAAATGAAATCCTAAGTATGTGAGGTTGAATCTGAGGATAAATTTGAATTGTTAGGATGTTTGTTGATGCCTATGTGTTTATTTGAATATAGATAAATGTTTCTAAAGTGTTAGAATGATGAATTAATGCTTGTGGATGAATGTTCATTTTTGGATGTATTTTTGGATGAGTTTTTGAATATGTGATGATGAAATATTGATGTTAAGAGTGATTAGAACATTTATTAGAGTCTATAAATGTAAGAGAATTTTAGAGAAAATCATGGAATGGTTAAAATAGGTACTAAGATTTATTTAGCACTAATTGTGGGTAAGGCCAAAACTTTATAACTCTTTAAATTAAGGTTATTTATTGATTTTAATGTGAAACTAATATCTAACATTATGAAATAATTGTGTAGACGGTATTAACAAAGATAGTAGTGAGAAATCGCTTGTTCAGGGGACTTTGATTGCTTAGAGTAAATGTAAGATTCACTAATTTGTTACAATGAGTGCTCTATGATTTATTATGTGTAATATGTTGAAATGAGATATTGCTTGAAAAATTATTACATTAGAAAATTATATGTTTGTTTTCTGTAAAATTAGTTGCCAAGTGACTTATTATATACGTAATTGAATACATATGGATATGA